ACAACAAAAAAAAGGGAGGAGGGGAGGCTCAGAACCGGGAAAAAAATTCTGAATGATCCATGCATCAAACACTTCAAAGTCACATCGCCTTGACTTCACTAAACAACAACCAAAAAAAAGCAATTAATACGTCATAGTGGTGAGGGGAGGCTTAGACCCGGCTCAAATCTCCTACTTGAATGTTTTGAATATTGTGAAACTGAATAATTTTTTAAATTTTGACAATCACTTTGAATATATACATAAGAAAATATAGAAAAAACTATATTTTCTCAGTAGAATAGCACAAAATTTTTCAATGCAGTCCAAAGTAACAGTTTACAATACTATTATTCAACCACACTCTGGTTATTGTGCGTCATCATTATTTTTATTTAACCTCAATAAATTGAATACAAGATCGAGGGATGAGAATAATCTTGATAACAAATCGCCGTACTCCCATGAAAAGTATGCTTGATTGTTTGAATTGGTTATCAGTTGAAAGTAGACTCTACTATTTTACAATGACTCTAGTATACAAAATTGTAAATGTAATGGCACCAGAATATTTTGAAGATTACATCAAATTCAATAAAAACATTCATAATTATAATTACAAGAAATTCCAATAATATATTATACTGACGTTTACTTATCACAAACAGTCTTTATTTACTTATTAACAGCCTTTCATATTAATTGCAAAAATCAAGTCTTAACTTGTTAGCTCCATCCCAATTATTCATTAATAACAAATTAAATCAACTTTCAGTTACTAATCTATAGAATATAAGTAACAACCTCTTCATTTGTACTTGTTCATTCATAATCGCAATAGAAAATATTCTTAGGAACAAAATTCACAATAAAAGTTATCATCGTTGTCATCACAACCCGAGCACGCTTCATTGGCCCATCACTTACAACTAGAACACTGTATCCAACCATCTACATGAGTTGATTTAGACCAAACTTCACCACAGTAAAAGCATTCAGGGTCATCATCATCCCATTGCCTCTGAACTGCATTCCTGCTGCTATGACGTCCGTGTGTATTTATTTGGCATACCTAAAATAACACAAGACATTCTTTTTTTGCAGAAAAAATGTGCACTGAGGAGGTAAAGTGACCTGGTGTGCCACTTTACCTCCTCAATGTTTATTGTTCCCTATTGGTGGGCCATTTCACCCGATTTAGCATGCGGTGAAAAAAAAAATACAAAAATGACTAATGAGGTTATATTGATCTACTTTGCAGCGAAATGAATAGATCAATTAGTCCACTAAGTCTATAAAATCGTGCATTGTTTTTCTATGAACCTAATGACATTACTTTTTATCTATGTTCGTTTCACTCACCTTAGATCAGATACCACAAAACACAATTATTTCACCATAACATCTGAAGACGAGCACTGACCCGGTGTTTTTGGAGGCAATATGGCGTCAACCAATGAATTATTTCCATATGTCGTTGACAGATAGCTCTTATCAGTTCGTCCGGTAACAAAAGGTGGCTGGCCACTTTACCTGCCTGCGCCACTTTATCCATCCTTCCCCTACCTAGAATTTTCGTAAATAAAAAATCAATAACTCAAGAACCGTCAAGGTATAACAATTGTCAAACAAAAAAATCTTTTATATGTTCTATTTCTTTTTTCCAATTCATCTGTTCAATTCACTGTTTAATACTCATTTCAACTATGAGTATAATTTTGTAGTGTTATTAAAAGGGAAACATTAAAAGCGAAAGCTTGGCAAAGTAGAGCAGAGTTTTGATTTCTGACTGAGAGACCCCGTTATTCCTTTTTTGTATAATCTCTTCAGGTAGTAACATGCTCTAAAGGTTTAGTGGCTTTTAGTCGGGGTCTCAAACTTCCTACTACCAAGCGATTCCACAGGTATTTATGACCCTGAACGAGTGAAGTGGCGAACTGGTAGTGGGAACAGAGTTGTGGCTTGCAGAAGCGAAGTATGCAATGTTGTGAGATGTATGGCATGATAGTAAAACACCTTCGTGAAAGCTTCGAAAACACCAAAAGCATTGCCAAAAAATCTGTTGAAATCTGGTAAAATCTATTATTTAGTTAACGAGCTGTCGGCCCCTTACGAACGACTACTCTCAACAGTCGAAACTTGTGCAAGCTGAGGACTAACGAGGTCTTACCTTTTAACTTGTGATTCCTAACTCTGAGTGGAGCTGACCACCTACGTCAACCCACTGGGCTACCGTCCTACCAACTGCGTCAACAAACGAGATGATTTACGTAGATTACGTCATTCATGGAGATCATTACTGCCCGCCTCTCCACTCGTCTAGTGAACCTGTGAAACCATAGTCGACGCATGAGATTATGCAGAATGAGACCCTTGCAGAGATCAGCGAAGAGACCCGGGGAGTAGGCAGCTCGAAAGTGGATCCCCACTGTGGTCAAAGCTTCATGAAAATGGCTTCATAGTCGAAGCCGAAACAACTAAAAACAACCAGACGCGATTCAACCCTGATTTCAGATCATCAGATTGCTGACTGCCGAAAATTTTCTGGTTAGCCGTATTTTGAAATTCTTGAAAGTTCTTATCTATATTGGGAAAAAAAGCATATATTTCACTGAGGTGTTTGATGTCAGATTTTTGTTAAGGCAATTAGTCGATTGAGAGATGAAAGCCATTTCCAGGAAAAAACCCTTGGACTCATTCTGTTCAATTGTGAGAACTCTCGTTGAATTGTAATCCATTAAGTATACTACTTGAAGACATTGTTGCTGAGAGTACATCTCTTAGAATGTAATCGACTATCACTTTCATGAGACAAAGTGCCGTATGCTCATCACAGATATGGCATGGTGTTGAATAAACTAATTCAGACTGCAAATTGATGGGAGTTATATCTCCAAATTACGAAAATAATGATAGTTCCTGTGTGAATTCAATGAATTCTTCACAAAGCAAAATGCACTATTTATCAGCCACTCGTTCATTTATTTTACATATCGAAAAAAGATTCAAGAATTGCACAGGTATAGGTACTCATCTTTCAACGTTTCAGATTCCAAAATCTGCATCCGCTCTGAAAACTGAATGAATCAATTACAGCTGGCAGGTTTCTTCTTTGATTTGATGTATTTTCAAACTGTTTGATAAATGTTGAAACAGTTTTTAAATGTTAAATAAATCATTATCATTAATCGACATTCGATATAGTATCAGGTGTTCTCTTATATATTGGTCTATTGTAATTTCACAACTTTTCATAAGTATATTATAGGTCGATAAGTACAGCTTATCAAATCTAGCAAGAGACTTGAGAAATCTTTCTCTCTCTCTCTCTCTTTTCTCTCACTCACTCTCACTGTCTTCTAACGAATGCAGATCTAGCGAGCGGGGTCATAACGGAATTCTTAAAGCTCTTTCTATATTTGACAAGCTGTACAATAAATTTCTGAAGAGATGTTTGAGATACACTCATCTTCAGATATGAGAATGCACGCTAAGTCCTTGAGTTCACGACTCTTATCGTGTGGTGAGTGAGAATTACAAGAAAAATACATGAAAAACGATTTTCATTCAACGTTCATATTCAACTCCATACTTTCTCGACTGTTCTATATTTTATTGTTTATTTTATATGGGGCATATCTACTTCAAAAATTAAAATTACCCTTCAGTAAAACTATGTTACAGGAGTTGAACCTTTTTCAGTAAATCATCCCACATACTCGTATTTGACCTTTGGTAGACTGACACTGATTGCAGATTTTTTCAATGAGAAACATACTTTTTTTCAACTATCAGTACAAAGGAATGATGCATTTTCAAGTCGGGTAGATCAAAAATTTCTATGAACGTAATACTGGAGTCATTTTTTTGTTATTCCATACACAATCTGATAAAATATTTATTTTATGGGAACAAAATTTTGGCTTGTGTGACTGTGGTTGATAATAGATATGTTTCATGGTTAATTTTATCAGTTTGGACTTACATTTTCTAATATTATTCTACTATGATTCGAAATCTAAGAAGGAACATGTGGAATTAGAATGAATAGCTAAAATATCGATTATATCAAACAATAACACATGATTTAAAAATACAATGAAACGAATGGTATAATAAAGATAAAAAAAAATTCAAACTTTTTGGCATTCTTCTTCCCCATTCCTGACTTCTTCCTGTGAATGATGTCTGTCTTAATTCTATCGAATATTTGGGGAACAAACAGAATGAAAGAAGTGTTTTTCAAATAATTCAATGTTCATATGAAAGTAGATGTTTCGAAAGGGTTCTTTCTTTCATTTTGTATCTGAAAGAAACTTCTGTACAGGATCTACACATCTTACAATTTCAAATTTTTTGTTGCCTTCTTCCTTTCTTTGGAAGTTTCACACATTACTAGTGTATAGAGACGGAGAAGTAGAACGTCAAAGTGCTTTTTCCCCAAAAGCTAATCTTCCCTATGAAACATATCATCTTTCGATTTGAATAGAGTTCGCTTATTTTGAACTCAATTGCTTTTTTCCTTCCATTGGAAGTTTCCCACATATTCCATATAAAGATGGGGAAGTAGAACCCAATTTATTTTGTGTTTATGCTCGAATTTGACGGGGTCTTTCCTCATTCAACAAATTGTTACACTTTCAAGTCCAGGATTGAAATAGGTACATTACATCAAATTAATTTTCATTTCAACAGAAAACGAACTTGGGCAATTTTGAAACACCGCCACCATACATTAAACTGCAGTCGTCAAATGAAACGACTTGAAAGAATTACGAAAGTAAGAAGTACGAAAAGGAAATACCCTATGGATTTCACCGAAACGCATTCAACAAACATTTCAATAATCATTATTTAAGTAACAATACAATATATTAATTACTTTCTACAATGCTATTCACATTCAGGTACGGTCAAACGAGGTACCCCTCTCCGAATACCACTGTGGCTGCGCCCAAAAACGGTCTGTATTCACCGTAACAATACGATTCAAAATGGAAGCCAGCGAGACAATGACTCATACAGGTAAAAACGTAGCAGCAGTGTTACATAGAAGTCAACCAAAGACAACACCTGTTGCGTTCAGTGCACAAAAATTTTTGAATAGTGTACATTTTTCCAACTCAACGATGTGAAATTGGGCCCAAATACTAAACTCAAACATCACAATATTTCAACATCTCAAAAATGTTGAAAGGTGCATTGATTTTGACTTTGTGCGGGTTATCTCTTGTGGAATGCGGGCTTAGCCTGGCAGGTGTAAAATGCGGCGTCAAATCTTGCAAGTTGAATGAATATTGTTCCGAATTTGATAGGACCTGCCAACCTTGTTCTACTATCTGCAACGACAGTAGCCACAATTACGACAGGAGCCTATGTGAAAAAGAATGTCAAGGTAGGTGCCTCTTATCTCTCAAGGTGATAATTTCATTTTGTTTATTTATTGAATTCTTTTCGGTAACAAGTGACTCTTGTTTACTGATATCTATCGTAATAAGTAGGTACTTATGACGCCATTTTGCCTCAGTCTTGCCCGACTTGTCATGATAACATTTGCTTGGATTAGAGTTGATTCTGTTGAAAACTTTTAACATTTGCAAATAAATATTTCTAATTAGGTTAGTTTGAATTCTTTTCACATGTAAAAGTCGTTTTTGAAATCTTAGCGAATTGAATTCAGTACCCTATCCATGGTTATATAATAGAAATGCTAGTGTAGTTTCGAAATAACTGTATGGATTCAGAAAGGGCTATTATTTGTATATTCGTTTTTAAGAAAGAACTTCTTGGCTTCATTTCAGATTCAAGACTTTCAGATTAATTAACATTTCATGAAAAGCACTTTTTCTATTCAATCCATATCAAATGTTTGAAGTACAATCTGAATGAAAATTATAGGTTTTGTGAGGATTAATATTTATATATTTGAAAGTATATGTTTCGAATGATCTCTTTCTTTCAGTTTGTATCAAAAAAGGACTTCAGTGTATGATCAAGAAATCTTTATGAAAAGTTCATCTGGTAATCTTAATTACTTTTTTCCTTCCTTTGGAAGTTTTTTCACATTTCTTATAGAGACGGAGAATTGGAAAATCAATAAGTTTTCTGGAAATGACGGATTTATTCACTTCATTATTTTCGGAAANTCGGCCGTCCAAAATCGGTGTGTGTGCAACTAGCGTAAGGCTAATTGCACACACACCGATACCAGTAAACATTGATAATGATATAATTCTTTACATTCTGGAATAAACTTTTTGTGAATCTATCAAAACATTAAGTTTCACATATATATTTGTTATAGTACTTGTTATAGTACGGTACTTGATAAGCTATTGTTATCGAAACCTTTTAGCTACAGAAAAATTGAGATAAATACCATTAGTTAGTTTTCATTTGATATATTTTTTCACGTATAACGTAGATATATTATATAGGTGTATTTTCAACAGCGAATGAACGCTTCTTTATATCACAAGTTGATTACAACTTTTCAGCAGAAGTTTCCTCCTTCTAAACATTCCATTTCAGAACAAAGAACACATGGATGATTATTTTCAGATTAAAATTCGAAATTGTTGTGTCAACTTTAGTTTTACTATGTGATGGGCTGATCCTATTTATATTTGAAAAAAATATTTTAGATTCAACACCTTGAAATTTTTTGATATTTTTACTTATGAATACAGTTTATGTGTGTAAATTTATTTCGGTATTTTCACTTTCATGACATATTTTATTTTCATCCATTTACATGTATTGCGGCCCTGAAAAAGGTGGAAATTTCCGCAGAAATATTGACTGAAGTAACACGAAGTAGTTTTTTCTGTATGATTATTCGTGAAAATATACCTACTCAACCAAGTAACTCAACATTATTATTATTCACTGCAAAAACAAGCACTTTTGCCGATCACCAGAAATATAATATGTTTCTAGACGAACTCTCTGTTCATATAAAGACCGATTTCAGAGTTAGAAATCGGTTTTCTCCATCTTCTAAAGACGCCAACTTGGTTGGTGAAACCCGCATTGAGAAGAGTATTGTATTTCTGGCGATTGGGAAAACTGCTTGTTTTGGATGCACTTGTATATTCCATATTCGTTGGAAATCCATTGTTTATGCAACCAATTTTAAGTAAGAAAAGATTATTATATTGAAAGAACCCACTTTGAACACGTTATTATTTTCAAACACCAAGCCTTGATAACCAGATTTTTGATTAATCAACGTGATTCATCACGTAGAGTATCACCAAATATCTTCAATATCTTGACATTGCATGTCACTTATAGTCATTGACCTTGAGTAATAATTTTGTTCATTTCGATAAAATATCCATGAACCCCTATATACGTAACCTATACACGTTCGTAATTTCCTTCGATGTTTTTCCAGATTTCATCCACGACAACTTATATGTTAGAAAAGACTCTGTAGGAGGCACTGGAAACGATGATCTGAGAGGTAGGAAATGCAAATAAATATTCATTAGCTAAAATATTTCTTTTATGCAGACGGGGACAACTCGCACTTTTCGAAAATATAGAAATCTTTGTTGTTTGAATTAATATAACAAAAATAATATTTCCCATACACTTTTTATTGGGAAGTTGATTCAAAGGTCTTAAAATTATCACGAACTAAATCCCAGATTACTTTTTTTTTCAGGTACTGTGGAGCGTCTTTCCCGCATAGTGACCGGTACACTTATTATTGTTTGTTTGATGCTAATTGTTCTATTCTGCTTCTTGTGCTTCCAGTTCTACAGATGGAAAGATAAGAAGAATATAACATTTGCTTCTCTGAAAAATAAAATTTTTGGCAAAAAAGCTTCTACAACGGTGAGTGTTTCAAAAATACTATTCACAAGAAACTGACAAGAGACTGTCATTATGAAATTTTACATAAACATTTTTTACAGGTAGAGATTACTGAGATTACTGTTTTTATATACGCTGTATATTAGCTTCACCTGTATGTATGTATGTATGTTTGTTTGTAACTCTCCTTTTCATCTCGTATCGTGATCTATATTTGACAGAATTGTCGACATTATTGCTTGATCTATTCGCGGGCAGATGGCACTGTACGTAACCTCCTCGATATAATTCGAAATTACTTTACATATATTTTCTTCATCTGAAAAAACTATTTTTTATTAACATTAACACGCTTACTACTACGCTTACTAACTACATTGAAATAATGTGGCGTGCGAGTAGACACCGCCAAAAATATTGCCATACATAAATACAAATTTGTTTAATATAATCGCAGATCAATTTTGCCCTCATATAGAAAAGGATTTAGAGTCATTAAGGATTACAGAAAAGTGAACATTTCCTAGCTTTTCTGAATATAAACAGCTGGAATAGCCGAAAATAAATCGTGAGGTTAAGTGATGGCTTCCCTGTGCTGTAAATGCAATAATGAAATGAATTTCGACAAGGAAATCTACAAAATAGCCTGTGACTCCTGTGGTGGACGCCTCCATGAAAAGTGCTCAGGACTGTCAGCTATAGAACTGCGTTTTATACCACTAAAAGCAAGAAATTTAATGGTGCTCTGTGATAAATGCCGCTCTTGCTTGAAATCAATGCCCCAATTGATTAGAATGATCAACGAAATGTAATGTCAGATAGCAGATTTATGTAAGGAAATCAAGGAAGCAAAAGAAGTAAAAGTTCACAAGGGTGATGATGAGGAAATCCTAACAGAAGTTGAAGATCGTATAAATCGTTCGAAAAATGTGATATTTTATAATGTTCCAGAATCTATTGAAAATAATATGAATAAGAGAATCGAGGATGATACAACGAGGATAAAAGAGATACTGAACAAGTGTAAGTTAGAGTACAGCACCACACACAGCACTGTAAAAACGGTTCGACTTGGGAAAAACGCTACACATGGTAAACCTCGTCCACTCAAGGTGGTATTTCGAGATTCTGAGATAGCGAAACAAATATTAAAAAGTAGGAATCGAATTAACATTAATGGAATCAAGATTGCTAATGATTTAACCATTAAACAGAGAGATCATCTGAAGTCGTTGAGATCGGAGCTAACAGAAAGGCAGAGTAATGGTGAGAATAACTTAACGATAAAATATATAAAAAGTGTATCCAGAATTGTTGAAGTACAATTAAAAAACGAATAAACTCACAAAATATCCTAGTATATTATCAAAATGCTGGTGGAATTTGAACAAAACTTAACGAACTGCATATTAATACACTGTGTTGTGAATACAACATTATATTACTAACAGAATCATGGCTAAATAATGATTTTTCTGATTCTGAACTTGGGATGTTTAATTTTAATATTTATAGATCTGATAGATAAGTGAATTCAAACAAAAGTAGAGGTGGTGGAGTGCTAATTGCAATAACAAAAAGTATTCAGTCGAGACTTTTGAAATATTCTGACGATACCAGGTACGAAGAACTGTTTGTCGAACTCAGAAGTGAACAAGACAAATATATTATTGGCTGTGTTTATATACCTCCAAACTCCCACACAAATATTTATTAAGCACATTGTCTGTCTGTGGAAGATCTTTGTCATAAACATCCAGAGCATAAGTTCATAATTTGTGGTGACTATAACTTACCTGAAACCTCCTGGGATAATGATGATCTAGGCCTAAAAGCAACTTGCCCTATGAATTCTAATGGAAACATTCTTGCAAATGCCTTTGGTTTTTTACAGTTTCACCAAGTGAATCATATAGTGAATAGTAGAGGGACTTATTTAGACTTAGTTTTCTCTCATATATATGATGTGGAAGTTATACCTGCAGCTGACTTACTTTTCCAAAACATCATTCATCATACTGCAGTATCATTTTGTATCAAAACTGGTAACAAGCCAATCCCATTGTGTCACTATTACTATGATTTTAAAAATGCAAATTTTTTAGGCATTAATGATTATCTTTCTACATTTAACTGGGTTGATATCCTTGAAAATTTGGATGTCAATGCAGCTACTTACATATTTTATGAAATCGTACAAAAATCAATTGATATATTTGATCCATTAAAATTATACAAACCTTCAAATTTCCCTAACTGGTTCTCATCTGAATTGAAGCAAATGATTTCTGAGAAGAAACGCATTCACAAACAATTCAAAATTCACAACCGCAATGAGGATTACATGTTGTTTACTCACTTAAGATCTCAATGTAAATATCTCACGAAAGTCTGCTATGAAGCTTACTTAAACAATATCGAGTCAAACCTAAATAATGATCCGAAATATTTTTGGAAGTATGTAAGTGACAAAACAAACTCAAATGATATACCTTACTCAATGTCATATAATGAACATCTTTCTACAGATATCCATAGCACAGTTAACTATTTTGCTTTTCTCGACAGTCTATGTAGAATCCGATCCTTTCCTTATAATTGATTTTGAATGTGATAATACAATTAATCTCTCTATTTGTGCTTTCGAATTGTCTAGTGTTTTTGAAGCCATTTGTATGATGAAATCTACATCATCTAGTGGCTCAGACGGAGTTCCTTCATGCTTGTTGAAACAATGTGTTTACTCATTATCATATCCACTTTTTCTTTTATACAACAAATCCTTAGCTACTGGTATATTTCCTGATTTATGGAAACAGAGCTATATACGTCCCATTTTCAAAAGTGGCTCGAAAGAAGATGTATCCAACTATCGAGGAATATGTATACAATCAGCTATTCCTAAACTTTTGGATGGATTGGTCAGCAAAGTGATAACTAATATTTGTAGATCAATAATTATACCAGAGCAGCATGGGTTCACAAATGGTAGATCTACAGTGTCCAATCTAATTTATTACCAGCACTATATAACAAAAACATTTTAGAGATCTGCACAGGTTGATGTTATCTATACAGACTTTTCTGAAGCCTTCGATCGGGTCTCTCATGATTTATTGATTGAAAAACTATATGCCATTGGGTTAGGTGGTAGGATGTTGGATTGGATAAGCAGTTATTTGATAGGTCGTTTTTAATAAGTGAGGTTGAATGGTATAATCTCTGAACCTTATGCAGTAAAATCAGGAGTACCTCAGGGATCCCATTGTGGTCCCTTGCTGTTTTGCCTTTTCATCAATGACATTAAGACTAAAATTCAGTATTCTGATTTTCTTCTTTCCGCTAATGATCTGAAGATCTTCAGAGTAGTGGCAAATATGTATGATGCTAATCTTCTCCAAATAGATCTCAATAATATAGCAGAATGATGTTATGCAAATTGTCTTTATCTTAATA